AAATATCAATCAGAAATATCAAGTGCCTATCTGTATGTTCATGATTGTGACCAACTTGGGATTGTTGTAGGACAAAATTTGTCACCCCATTGAATACACATTATTGCAGATTGTTATTTTGGCTGGCAGATTCTTGAAGTGGGTGGTATTGGATTTGTAATATTAAAGTAATTAGATGCCTGAGAAAGGCAGATTTATGATATTTTGAAGATGACAATTTTTTCTTCAGTGTGGATGATAACCTAGCAAGTTGGAAAAATGCGATTGCTCGTGAAAATGTTCGACAAAATAGAGAAATAAAATACTAGTGACAGTCACTATTTTTAATCTAATTTATCTGGTTCTCCCAATCATCATCATTCACAGAAATCTTAACCAGCAATCATATCCAATAAAAGTACAACTTCCTTTTTTCTCCACGGAAAACCATCTCACTTCAAAAAATGCATTTTCATAGTTTTTTCCCAATTACATTCTTTCTTTGCATGAGAGAGAGAGAGCGAGAGAGAGAGAGAGAGAGAGAGAGAGAGAGAACTATTCTATAAAACAGAAAAACAAAGTGAAAAAGACACCAAATCGACAAACCACACCATAGAAGAGGCACGTTTAAGCTTCAAAACAGTACACATGATGCTGCTCCTTAATCAAATTTTCCTTATTAAGCTTCACAGTAACAAAGAAACATGCACTTGAGCAGCATGTGTTCATATCTTTAGCCAAGACCTAACAATTCAGTTCGGCCAGTGGAGACCTTTCATCAAGAATCACTTGAACCGATTTTCCCGAGGGCAAAAAGGTTGCTTCATCAAGTGCTGTTTCACTGTTTTCCTCCAAAGACCTTGAAATGCTACCCAGCATATTCACCATTTCAACATCTTCTCTGCAGAAAGTCTCGATTCTCCCACAGATACCCACAAACTGTGTGAGCAGATTCTCCTTATCGATTGATGCTTTTCTAAGATCTTCAAGCAGAGCTCGTTCATGCAACTCAAACTCCCTAAGCTGACCTTTCAGCTCAAGCACCTGGGACTTCTTAGTTTGCAATGAAGCCTCAAGCTCTAAAAGCACTTCCTTTGACTGAATAATTGATTTTTCCTGAAATTCCACTTCATCTCGCAAACTTATCACTTTATTCTCTAACTCTGTAATTATCTGATTTCTCTCTTCAATCTCAGCAATTTTCCTGTTTTCAGCTGTCTTCAAGGCTTCATCAAGCATAACAGTCTCTCTCTGAAGTTCTTCTATTTTCTGGTTTCTCTCCTTAATAGTCGATGATAACTTCATGATTTCCTGCTCAAGTGAATTGTGTGACTCCAATAGAGCAATCTCCACAGCTTCTTTTTTGTCCAACTCATTCTTAAGTCGATCTACCTCGTTCTCGAGACAACTGATGCTTCTATTCCTATCTTCAGCGAGTTGGACATAATCATCCTTCTCCTGATTGAGCTTTTTCACATCCTTTGATTTTGCTAGAATCACTGACTGTGACTGGCGAATGTGATCCCTCAATTTACCAATCTCAGCATCCTTTTCATTCATGAGGACGAGAAGACTAGCATTCTCTTTCTCGAGTGCTTGCTGGCTTCCTTCAAAAGCCGATCTCAATTCTTTGTTCAGAAACATGTTTTTCTCTTCAAACATTTTAGAGTAAGCAAACTGAAATTCGGATCTCAAAGTCATGATAAAAACAAGATTTTCCTCATTCTTCACCTCCAATAGCCACCAGCAATCGTCCAGCTCCTTTTTCAGCTCTCTTATGATTTCATCTTTGCTGTCCACCTCAGATAAGCAATTTTCCATATCAACAGTCAATTTTTCTACACGAGAGTTCCATTCATCCTCCTTCTGTTTGAGACTTACACTGCATTTACTATGCAAATTCTCCAGACCATCAAGTTTATTTCGCAACTTTTTCAATGACGAAGATGAAACATTACTTTTAATCTGAGCCTCTTGAAGATCTTTCAAAGACGCAAGCAAATCATTGTTTTCTCTCTCTAGCTGTGCAGCGTTATAATTCATTTCGTTACACAGCATTTCTTTTTGTCTTAGTGACATCCTCAGCTCGGTTATTTCCTCATCCCTCCTCACTGTCAATTCCTCAATCTCAGATTTCACCAACTTGCAATCTGAATACACATTCTCAAATTTTGCTCTAGATTCAGACAGCTCGATTTCAACAGCTTTTCTCTTACTTTCTTCATGGGCCAATGCTTGATTGCTCGACCACAGCTGAGTCTCCAGGTTTTCCGAAACCCGAACTTGAGCATCAAAATCCGCTTGCAGCTTCGAAATTTCATCAACAAGCAAAGATTTTTCCTTAAACCACTCCGCTTTGCTCGACTCAAACTCAGCCCGAAGCTGATCGTGTGCTTGCTCGAGATGTGAAAACTGCTCATTTTTCCATTTCAGTTCATCCTTAAGAACTGCATTTTCCTTCTCCAATTCAATTATATATTCATCTCTCTGTTTTAATTCTCTGGACGCATGTTTGCGCACTTCTTCAGAGCTCCTCTCCATTTTATTTACCGATAAAAGCCTCTTGAGCCCAGAAATTTCATCTGAACTAATGCGAGTTTTTTCCTCCAGGTCCTGGATTTTTGATGATGCCTCCTCAAATGATGAAATCAAATCCCGATTTTCACATTCCAACTTTGATATTTTTTCACCGTATTCTGCACGAAGCTTTTCATTTCCAGAATTAATCTTCTGTAAAACCATGTCCTTTCTCTGCAAATTGGACTGGAGTTCCTCGCACATTTGCCTGATCTCGCATATCTCCTCGGATTTGGCACTTAACTCACGAGCCAACTTGTCAATTTCCAGCTTATCTTGTCGGCTTTTGGCTAGTTGCTCTGCTTGGGCTTTTCTCAGACTATGATAAAGCTCGGTTTTGGCCCGGCATTCGTATCTGAGCTGTTCTGCCTCGAGTTTAACTTCATCTAGCTCATCATGAATCCTATCCATTATTAGTTCTCTAAACAAGTTTTTATCCTGCATGCATAAGGTTGAGGAGCAGACTTAACATAAGCCAAAAACAAGGATCAGATGAAAACAAAAGCAAGTAAAAGAAGATTGGAACACATTAATCAGGAAAGGGAAACAAATCAATAGTTTTTGAAAACTTAGTCGTCAGGAACTGTTATAAGAAGTTTGAGTGTCCTAAACTAGGAAACAAAACTTGCCTGTTGGCCACTAATTTTGCATTCTACAGCAGAATATCATCTAGACCTCCTCGAGTTCCTTTTTTTCGTTACTAAACCATTATGTTCTCAAGAGTCAAGCCAATAATCATGATCAAGACAAATGTGTTAAGAAACTCACAAAAAAATGAAAAAAATATTGATGTTACAAGCTTAGAACTTATGTGACCTAACCACAGCCAACGAGGAGTAAAAGAACAAAATTTCGGAGTTGGACCAACCTAGAACTTGTAATGGCTTCCTAATATTCATTAAACAACATTTACACCATCAATAGAGGCATCCATTTACNACTGGCGCTGATAATGATGACTGTTTCAACAACCACAGTTATTGTGAAGAGAATGTTAGGGGAAATAAACTACCCCGTTATCTGCCTTAAATCCCAAGATATCCAATTGGCCATTTCAAGATAAAATCGATAAAAGAAAAAAAAATAATGACATTTCATCATCATTGCAGGCATAATCAGCCCTAGAATTTAAGTCAGACCACTATATTCATAAATATCATCGCTAGAGACGTGACAATAGCGTGCTGCAATTATAACAGATTGGATCGAGATAGAATTGCAAATGCAACAGACAATAAAGGAACAAAATAAGATCGCGAGCGGATCCTGAATTTTCGTAGCTGTGACGAGGTTTTTGAACCCTAAGATCCGATTAAAGGAATCAATTTGAACAGCGTATAATTCGTATCGACAAGCATGAAGATTTACCTTTCAGGCGCCGATGGAGTGGATTAGCCGGCGCTTGGCTGAAAGAGGAACAAAACAATGATGGACAGACGAGAGAGAGAGAGAGAGACGCCGTTGTGTGGAGCGGGAAAAGATTTCTGTTGAAAATTTGAATTTCACAGGCTAACGTTGTGTTTGACAAAGAGGGAAAGCAACACAAATAAAATCAATTCTAATTAATTGAGCACATTTCATATTTTTCCCGTTTTAGTCCATAAATCTCATTACATTCTTTAACAAACGAAAACAAATATTTTTAATAACCTAGACACTCCTATTGAAATTATACAAGCAAACCAACCTTGGTAAACAAAACATAGAAAATAGTTATTTACACTTCGCTATGAAAACTGAATAAGTTTTTTACACTGTTAGATTATAAGTTAATTTTTTCAACTCATAAAGTGCGAAAGACGTTATCCGATAATTACACGGCAATTGTGTGAATGACATTGTGCGAAAGTTACAAATGCATAGTATTCGCACTTTTAAATTTGAAGTAGGTATGCTAATATACGACAGTTATGCGAACCATTCGCATAAGCTTCGGATTTTTTGGAGTGAAAATATTAGATTGTTAGCGAGCGGGGTAAAAAACTTAATATATCTTCAGGTCAAAGTGTAAAAGAAATTATCCCAAATTTAATTTGATTTAAATTTAGCCAATAATTTACTTACATTTTCTAAATCGAAATCCAACTTAATATTAGTTCAATTCAAGTATTCAACTCTTCTCAAAATGGTTTAATCCACGTGTAAAATTTGAATAAAAAATTGTGTTGTCACACATAAAAAAAATAATCTTGTGTTATTTTGAAATGTGTGCCTAAAGATAATCTTAATTTTACTGATACTTGTAAAATATTTTTTAAATAATTTAAATGTAGGAAAATATTATGTTGTCACACGTCAAAAATAAAAGTTGTTCATCTGTCATTGTTTGATTGCATTTATCATTCATTTCAACTTGCATTATGTGTCCACAACTTACCAAAAAAACGTATTAATGTTTTTTACTTTAAATGGTGTGCCCACATCTCCTGCTTATTTATGAATTGGTGTATCTGTTTACTTGAATAATATCAACTTGCAATACGAAATGCCGTCTATAAATTAATATAATCTTATTCGCATTTGATGTGAATAATCTTTTAGAGAGACCAGATTTTGATATGAATACTCTCTTATTCACATTTTCTTCTTTTTATCGGTATTATTCACATTTTACTCATGGCACGCTCGAACTTGTTTTTGTGGTCGCGCATCTAGCTTTTCAACTAGATAAAACGCCATCTAATCATCCTTTATGAAGTGTACATAAATGTCTCTTTCATTGTGTATTGGAGTCATGTGATGCTCAAGTAGAAAAAATGAATGTAAAAAAAAACTTAGTCCATTTTCTACTGTTTCAGATCCTATCTAACATGCAAAAAAACGTGTTGACCTGACAATCACATGAGATTCACATAAGCTCGTCACTAACTATTGTGCCTGCTAGTCTTTGCATCAGCTTCGATTATTTTATCATGTTTCGTAACAACTATAATTCCATCGACCGATCTAATAAATAATGGGACTAAATGAACATTCAATCGAGTTAGAACTCCAGCGTACAAATAACAGAAATTACATCACAAAAAATTCAGTAAAAATATTTTGCAGCCCTACAATTGTTCCCAAAACGAAAATCCGTTATTATAGCAGCATAGCAAGGTCTAGCATTCGACTATATGTCATTATACAACAGACATAAAAGTTCGGCTAACTCTGAACTGTACCCAAAAAAAAAATCAATTTCTGGATTAGCATTGGCTCTTAAATATATAGCTAACCTCCAAATGTAGCCTCAAACCAGGGTTAATAGTTGGATGCCTCTGACCACAGATGAACAACAGATCAAACATGTTCCTCGAGCAACAATGACTCGAGTTCTTCTCTACGTCGCTCAAGATCCTGTAACCATTAATTTTAACACAAAATTCTTGTATAACTTTTAAAAGATGACGTGACGCAATTATCATAAACTGGATCAAAAGACCGGACGCTTATCAAGAATATGACTCGAGTTTCAATATCATCCATGATCCATCATTGTCTTCACTCTTACCATCTTTTATCCTTATTAGCAACTTGGGATGGCCAAATTGTATTTTTTCTTTTAAAGACATAAAGGAAATGGAAAGAGTACATTGTTGAAAAACATAAACTACGACAGTACCTCGAGATCCTTTATTGCTTGGTCCCTGGAAAGTTCTCTTTTCTGGCGAGCACGCTTGACGGCACCAATGCACAATATTCCCTTAAAAACATTTAAATTTTTCAATGATTAGAGTTAACTACAAAGTCGAACTTATTTTAGAACAAAACTGCAGCAACAGGCCACAATTCTCTTCAATAATATAAATATTCATTACGACACATGTGAATGAACAGCCAATACCCAGACTTGGAAGAAGATACGGACATAATAACTAAAACAAGACAACGAAAAAACTCACGAAAAATAAACTATTACCAAATAAAAGGTTGCGTGAACTTACTGATATCACATAAATCACACCACATGCAAGGAGAAGGTAGCTTGCAATGCTTTGTAGAAGGAAAAGCTCTTGGCGGTCTCTCAAATACTCTGGATAAGCTCTTGTCATGACTGCAACACTACAGAAATCCAAAATTCACACATCAAATAAACTAGAGAATACTCTTTAGGTATGTGAAATGGTGAAAGCAAAAAGTTATTGTAAAAAGACAGACATACAAGATCTGCAGCATTCCCCTGCCTGCCCAATATTCCAAAACCTGCAAAATATTGGGAAAGACATCATAACACATGAGCATATAATATGTTATATTTTTATAAAGATATAATAACAGTGTCAGGTAATCCGGAAATGATGTTAAAGAAAACAACACTTTATGGTTCATATAATCTGCAATTCAGATGAAGAAAGTCACTTGGACCGAAACATCATTCATCAACTTCAGATACGACTCAGATAAATATAATAATCAAACCACCGTAAACAATCGCTAAAGCATGATTGCTTCCAAAAAGGCAGCTGAATCATATCAGTAAGCTGCAAATGGTCAGGATCATCCAAAAAGACTATAGAGCATTAAACTCTAAAGTTACTTTACCTCAATAAGAGATAATCATCAAAGTTTTGCAGTAAAAACTGATTCACAGGCTTGAGCTATCTATCTTAATTGCACAAGACATGACATATTTAATGTCAAAAACCAACCAGCCTATTTGCATCCTGACCGGTATTAATAGTAAACAAGCTACACTACGCTTTAGTATATTACCAGTCACTTGCACTAAAGCACTTATCAATTCTGTAAAACTACACAAGAAAAAACTGGGTCTGACGCTCTAGATTTATATACATAAGCCTTTGCTACTATGTTCTTCTACACAAAGAGTATCGTATCCAGACCCATGATGGCTATAGAAATATATATCAACATAACCAAAACATTCAAATATCACCATAGATATTGAAACTGCAGGACTTGATAAGTCAATTCCATACTTCTTTTTGTTACCTATGATTTCCATGAACCAATCAAACATATTTTGCAACAGAGCATGTCAAACTGACTCTATAATAGCGTGTTGAAATTGAGAAACCAGTCAAACAGCCACCAGACATCAAGTAACTGAGTAAGTGTACGAGTAAACATAGGACCATCTAAATCCCGATAAGCATCACTCTATGTTTCAAATTGCCTTATCAAGGACACAACTTTGACAGGTATCTTCATACTATCCCTATTCACTAAAACTTACACCACATGCAACATTTTTTTTTTTGTCTGCGAACTGAACAAATGTTTTATATGACAAAAAATTACGGGGATTAAAGATTAGAAGCCAACAAAGTTTTACTTAACCCAGAAGTGGTGACGTGCATTCACTGTCCAGCGCTGACTGAAACTCTCACCATTCAGGAAGTAAAAATGTACAAAATAGGAGCAATAGAAGGGCATAAAACAACACAAACAGAGAGAGAGAGAGAGAGAAGGGAAGAAGACCTTTGAGAACTTCATAATTACTCCCCACTCAGTCTCCGCGACAACCACAAACACGGCTATGACCACCGCGTAGCACCGGAATATTCCGTCAAATATCTACACAAGAGCAGCTCCACAAATTCACACACACAAAGAAAGAAAAAAAAAATCGCAGTGACGTTTTAACCGCATAATTAGAGAGACAACAAACATTACATCAGATCCGTTTCTGAAAGATCGAACGGCGGAGAGAACATTAACAGCGATGCAGAGAATGCCAGCCAGAGAGGTTATGAAGCTAAAGCATCGGCAAGCTATCAGAAAACTGTCGGGCCGCGAGCGAATCCGGCCGGAGGACGCAGTCGGAGGCCGCAGCGGATCGGGCTCGGACACGGCGTGGCTGTCGGCTTGGCGGGAGCTCTCTCCCTCCATTTTTCTCCTCAGAGATTACGCTCGAGCTTGAAATCGAGGTGAAAAGGGCAATTTGCAAGCAGGCCTCCCGCTGGCTGGGAAAAGGGAGAGGTTTCACAGATGGAAGATTCTTAACCCATCTCAGGAAGAAAATGAAATGCCCTGCTCGAAATCGCCATGTGTAGGTTAAAATGAGGCTTTAATTATTGGTACACTACACGACTCCCAATTCTACATCAATTTAGGTATTATAAAAATTGTTTTTATTCAGAATATTCCACGCTGTCGTTAACAGAGTATATTTTAAACCCACACAGCCTGTCACTTTTCGATACAAAGTCTCCTCTATTGATCACACAACAAAAGTAAAGAGGGGACAAAAAATGGAGAACAAGGAAGATAAAATCGTGGCAGAAAACGGAGTCTCTGAGATCCCTAGAACAGACGGCTCCGTTTGTGGGTTTGATTCCTTGCACCGGCTCCTCCAATCTTCACTTTCTCCCCAGCTTTTTCAGGTCACATTTGCACCATTATTTTCTCTGTATTGATTACGATTTTTGATTTATTCGGTGGTTAAGTTACTTGATGTTATAATTTCGATCAAACGGATTTCTAGATTTCTGGGCCCTTGAATTGTGGTTATTGGATAGTATATTTTTTGCTGTGTTTCTGAGTTCTGACAGTTTTGTGGAATTGGGTTTCTTGCTAAATCAACTGAATAGAGTTTTTCCCCGATCTAAAGTTATTATATATTGACTTGTAATATCTGTACTGTTCTTGGATGATCGATTTTGTTCCTCTTGTGATATGGCAGGAAGTTAGTCGAATACTTATTGGTCTAAATTGTGGAAGTCCACTTGATACTATTGATGTTCCTGAGCCTGCGAAATCTCTCTCTGCAAAGCATGATTTTGATCTACAGGTACCTTTAAAGGAGGTTGCTTATGACTTTCTTTTGCAAATTGCAATATGCCCTCTTCGTAAAAGGTCGAGTGAAGTATGATGAAGAAATGGTTTTCCTATCATAATGACTGCTCGATTTAATTTGAGATGATAATATATTTTAGCTTATGTATTGCTACAGAGTATCTTGTTTACAGTTTTAAATGCGGTAAACGGAAGTGAATGAAGAGGAGAGGATATGGAAGGAAAAAGAAAAAAGAGTTAAAGAAAATAGGAATAACCAGAGATTATGCTAATGTATTATGCTTTCTATTACCTGCAAACTTACTTGAAAAGAATCAGTTTGTTGATTACACAAGTATCATTCAAAATGCAGGCATTTTCATTTCGTGCTGAAAAGGAGTCACTGAGGGAACCCCGAATTGTGCGTGTGGGGTTAATTCAAAACTCTATTGCTGTCCCCACAACAGCACCACTATTGGATCAGAAAAGAGGAATCTTCCAGAAATTGACGCCTATCATTGAAGCAGCTGGCTCGTCTGGAGTGAACATATTGTGCTTGCAGGTACTTTGCTCCTAGCGATTCTCGAATATTCTTATGAATTAAAGATAGCCATAAGAGATTCACAAAAAAAAAATATTATTGATATAGGAGGCATGGATTATGCCGTTTGCATTTTGCACCCGCGAGAAGAAGTGGTGTGAATTTGCAGAGCCAGTGGATGGAGAGTCGAGTCAATTTCTTCAGGAGTTTGCCCGAAAATACAACATGGTTATAATAAGCCCGATTCTTGAAAGGGATGAGAAGCACGGGGAAGTCGTGTGGAATACTGCTGTTATAATTGGAAATCACGGAAACATAATCGGAAAGCATAGGAAGGTAAAACCGTACATCAATTACGAGCAAATTTTCGTTGTTTCTGATTGAATGGTTGACACATAACACATAATAATAATAATAACAAATAAAAAAAACAGGTTTATTCTAAATATAACAAGATAAAAAGTTAAATTAAATTCCTTGATATTTGTAGAAAACATGTTAATCTTGACGGACGGTTTGTAATTCCTTTAGACATTTTTCTCTTTGAAAGATGGCTGCTTTATTGATTTAATCAGGTAAAAATTAAAAGGTACTCTCTTTTCCTTTTTTTTTTTTTTCNCAGAATCATATTCCCAGAGTTGGGGATTTCAATGAAAGTACATACTATATGGAAGGGAACACTAGGCATCCCGTGTTCGAAACGGCTTTTGGGAAGATTGCAGTCAATATATGTTATGGAAGGCATCATCCTCTAAACTGGATGGCTTTTGGCTTGAATGGCGCTGAGATTATTTTCAACCCTTCAGCAACCGTTGGTGAACTAAGTGAACCAATGTGGCCCGTTGAGGTATCCCTTTGTTTTTTATTTTTGTTAGAATATCACTTGTGAGTTGTTCCACATCGTCCATACATGGAAAATAGACCCACCTTATAAGACTAATGGGCTACTCCTCCTTCTACCAATTGGTTTTGGGATGGAACCCCACTTGGGCTTCATATGGGCTTTTCCCGTTTTTTCATGGTGCGCTTCATGATAGTGGGCCCGCACCCGTTTTCCCCCAGTTTCTGTCAATTTAAAAAAAAAATGAATTTTGATTTTCTAGAAATTTAGCTGTAATTTTTTTTTTTTTTTTTTTTTTTGNTTATAAATTTTGCAGGCGCGTAATGCGGCAATAGCAAATAGTTACTTTGTGTGCTCGATCAATCGTGTGGGGACTGAAAGCTTCCCGAACGCGTTCACATCTGGAGATGGGAAACCTCAGCACAGAGATTTTGGGCATTTTTACGGCTCGAGTTATGTATCTGCACCTGACTCCTCATGCACGCCATCTTTGGCCCGTCACAAAAACGGGCTTCTGATTTCGGACATGGATCTTAACCTCTGCCGGCAGATTAAGGACAAGTGGGGGTTTCGTATGACTTCAAGGTACGAGGTTTATGCGGATTTGCTCGACCGTTATGTGAAGCACGATTTCGAACCTCAAGTTGTAAGTGACCCATTGTTAAGTAAGAGAAGCTTGTAGCTTATTTATTAGGGCATTGCAAGCTTTTCTTTGTGTTGGTTTTGTGGGAATGTGAATAGTTCAGTTTTAGTTGAGGCTTTGAATAAATTCTGGTTGTAATTTGGAAGTATGTTTTGCTGGATGAATGTGATGCCTTAACTATGTGCTGGTATTGGATGACTTGTTGTGGTTAATCACTTTTATGAGTTTTATTTGGAACTGCTTATTTTCTCAAGTTGCATCAGGCATATGAATCCCTCTATCCCATAATAAACTCAAATTGGGTATTTCTATATCTTGTTCTCAATAGAAAAGAACTAATTTAACTCAATTCCAATATTATCAATATAACTAAATAATATCAAATCAATCATTCTTACGTATCTTATTATCATCCATTGTATTGTGTATATCCTCCAAAATTTCGCGTCTGCAATGCAATTCATTTTTTCCTCCGCATAACTTATATATCATCCATTGTATTGTGTATATATTTTTCTGTTGGATTTTTCCCTGAAAGAACAGAAACTTATGACAAAATTGTTGTCGTTTTAGCACTAATGCACACTAATAAACCGAGTCACTTGAGAAAATACAGAGCCACACCCCTTTACATTGAGTCATTAACTCGTGAATTCGAACATATTTATTCATCAAACTGCACGACCCATTCGACATCATTCGTGAACTGAAATAAAACTCAATCCTCTGTTTACATATGAAGCTTCACAATGAATTTAGACATTATTCTTAAACTGACAGAACACACGATCCACTTTTAACTTCATGCGGAAAGTGGCTACTTCATAGCCTCTTGATTTTTATCAAACAATACTTGCCTAGCAATCGTTGCTCCTCGTCCCTTGGCCATGTAAAGACCCACGTGATGCATCAGTTCCTGCACGCCACAAAATAGATCAAAATTGAACCTTTTGTCTAAATTAAGGAGATCCAACATTTGAGGGGTTGTTTTGTGATTTTCACAAACCTTAACAAACCCTTTTTTCCAATTAGTCTAAAAACTTGAGGTCAAATTTGTTTTTCCAAGAATACCTGTGGATGAGCTAATTGATCCTTGCTGCTATTTGCCACTGAAGCTGGAAAATCAAAAGTAGCACATCCTCTCGAGTACACGACCACATTTTCTAGTGGCTCGAGCAAACCACGGTTTCTAGCAGATAATGTGGAGCAAACAAAGTCGAGCACACAAATGTCGGTGCATATTCCGACAACCAACAGCTGAAACATAATCCCATCCCAAAATTAGTCCCTTTATTTATTTAAGTCAAGATCTCATAAAAATATAAAATTTTACGACAAAAACTCACTCACGAGCTGGATCTTGTTGTTCTTCACCCACTCCACAAAGACATTTGACCCGTCCTCTCGAATTGAGCCCACAAAGCCATCATAACAATCTTTACGCCTAATTTTTACGTTCGGCTCATCTTCTATCCACCTTAGCCCTGCACGCACATATCGACCACAATAGTAAACGAAGACTAATGCTGTGTTTGGTAAGAATATAAGCTAGCTTATAACTTATTTGATTAGTTTATAAACTTTTTGTATTCAAATAAGTTTGGTTTGGCAGGACGAGACTTTTTAAAAAGCTCGAGCTTATCTCATAAATTTCCTTGGGTAGCTTTTCCAATAATCCCATTAAAATTTTCATTTCAGCTAGATTTATCAGCTAATTTTACGAACCACTTTGATCATATAAGCTAGTTTTCAACCGTAAGTCATAAGCTATCAGCTATAACCTCAAAATTCACTTAAAAGGTATAAGCTAGCTTATCAGCTAATATTACCAAACACTTTTATCATATAAGCTAGTTTTTCAACCATAAGTCATAAGCTATCAATTATAAGCTCAAAATTCACTTAAAAGCTATAAACTAACTTATCATCTAACTTTACCAAACATAGCCTAAGAAAACAACACACTATCTATACCATAAAATGTAATATGTATGTTAGTTGGTATACCGGGAACTAGGTTTGATTCATCTGTGCCATTGATGCAGTGTGGTGGATAAGGATGCTCGATTTTCCCGGGATTGTGCGAGTCGAGAAAGGCGATCACCGGCCATTTTTTGTCACAAAATATTTTTGCTAGTTTTGATGATTCTTCAACCATCTCACTGATCTGCTTGTTTGGTTCCCTTGGAGCCTGCGAAAAAATAAAGAACAAAATATGTAACAACATCAGAGTATGTTGCAATTATAGAAAATTAGATAAGGAGAGCGAGAGACGTTACCAAATTGCCAGCTCCAACAGTGCAGAAGCCATTAATGATGTCAACAAGAACTAAACCGGCCTTAGAATCATCGGATATGAACACAGATTCCTCCTCGAAAGGAATCTCGTTTTTCAAAATATCCACTGTTTGAAGCACCATTTTATATTTCTATTTCTTCTTCTTTCTTTTTTTTTTTTTTCTTTTTTATANTAATTCTTGAAGATAACAAATCCCAAAGCACCCCCTCTCTCGTCTTTATATATTACATCCATACACAGAGAGAGAGAGAGAGAGAGAGAGATCTGGCTTGACCAAAGGGTGCTGAAAATTAATTAAACAATAATCGACATGCACCAAACCAATTGAGTACTAGATATCATTTTGACTATTGGAAAATAAGAAAAGTTGAAAATTGTGACCAATATGAAGAGTAAAACGTTGACACGGAACAAGATAATGGATAAGAATCATAAGATCACTTCCATTTTTTATATATTTTATTTTTTCTACATATTTATTATTACTACTATTTATATGAATTTGGTGGAGGAGGGGAGGAACAGTAGACTCTCACAATATCAATGAATGTGTTGGCATTGGGCAATATTATGATTTTTTTTTTAAAAATGATAGGAATCTCATATCAAATTAAGAACACAGTTCGCATAAGCAATATAAACACACACCGGAGAAGAATATTGATATGGTCCAAGATGAGTGACTCCGGTCCTCCGAAGGGTTCTTCACGGTTATGGCGTAAATGCGTTTAATTCGGTCCGGTCCAAGCTTGAGTGATCGCCGGTACCTGCAAATACGCCGGAATTGCTCCGGCGTAAGACCCTCCGACGCCCAAGTCAATATTTTGAAACAAGAGAATTGTAATGTGTATTGAATGTAACAGTAATTGTAATAAATGATGTCTTACCTTCTCCTAGTGGAATTTATCATATATATAGCGTTTAATTGTACGGACCCTCTCCTGGAGCCATAGGTCCTTGGATTCTCGTCGACCGAATGCTAACCGGTCGACGTCTACACGTGTGAGTCGACCATCGACCCACTTCACCATGTGGTCGACTAGGATGGTGTTCGACCACCTACTCCGGTCGACCTCCACTCGGTCACAAGTCCTGCTCGGCCATTCTGGCTGGTCGGCCCTTCCTGGCCCATTCCACTTGGACCGGCCCTTAGGCCCATATGGTCTTGGTCCTACGGGTCTATGTTTGGCCAATTGTATTAATATCCTTATCAAATATGATGACCAACCGAATTGGCCTAATCCAAGACAAACCCAAGGCAGATAACAGGCAGCCTAGCTAAAACCTCAGCCCTGATAACCTAGTCTAACCAAAAACGAACCGAATGTGAAAGGTGAACTGGCAAATTTGAGGTGGCGTGCACAGCTAGCGCTAATCATTACCAAGATTTGTCTACGATACGCATTAAATGCTAAGGGATCCGGTAATATCATCCATCTAAAGGTGTTTAACAAGGTAGGGACACGTGTCGCGACCGGGTTTAATCACTGGAATTGAGATTAGATTATGTAGTACAGGACATTAAATGTGGTGTGACTAAATATCAAAAGAATATCTTGCAAAAGAAAATAGAAACAAAAATTTCAAAGAGGATTGTAACAAGTCCTCACATTTCCTATAAAAGGAAGAAGAGACAACGTTAAAGACAATGAGTAATTGCTCTCATTAATGATATAAAAGTCAGGGATAAAACACCCATTCGTACCGAATGCACTTCAAAACTCTATTCGTGCAGACCGAACCGAGTATACATTCTAGTATACAGTTCCAAATATTGTTGGTCATATTTTAGACATCAACATCATTAAATATTTTCAGCTGTCAATTTAAAATTTGGTAGAATATAATTGTAACAAATATAAAATAAAAAAATCAGATAATAAATAAAAAATTAAATGATATGAAAGATATGAGCAAATTTTTGTTTATCATATCAGTTCTAAAAAATATAAAATTTACAAATAAAAATATTTTAACATAAGTAAAAAATATGAACATATAGCACCTATTATCTTTCAAGGTCGAATTAGACATGGCCAAATGGCAGGCCGAAGGGTTGGGTTAAGCCGACCTTGAACCGGCACGCCCTAAATCCGTGTCGGGTCCATGGCCCGGCGGGTCGGGCCCGGGTCTGGCCCGTTTTCTTTAAAAAAAAAAGAAAAAAAAAAAGAAAATTCCAAACCTTTGGTTTTTCTCCGTGCCGGCCTGGACCCGGCCCGGCCCGCCGGGTCAGTGGCAAAAAAACAGGACCCTTACACGGCCCATCTGAAATCTGCGCCGGTCCCAGACCCGTGGTCAACGGGTTTGACCGAGCCGGGTCCGGGCCGGGTCAGTGTTGGGTCGGCGGGCCGGGCGACCCGGTGGCCATGTCTAGGTCGAATTAATAATTTAGCCCTTCGATTCTCAAACTAATATAACCTAAAATATGAAATTAATAGTTTCGATCTTCTAGGTCGTTGATAAAATATCTGGATAAATTTTATGAGCGATTGATAAATAAAATAATATCATAAAACTCAATTAAAAACGTTTACAAACCGAATGATCAAATGATCAAACTGGGCTTCAATGAACACACCTAGAGGAAGCCCAAATGGGAAAGTAACACTTACTACCCAATCCGCAAATACAAACCAAAACCTACTAACCAACATCAAGCATAAAAGTACAATGCAAGGAATTAGAGACAATAGCATAAATATCTGATATGTGGTGCTCCAGAGCAGGACAATTCAATTTCTTCTCATTGAGTTGAAAGGCCAAGTCTTCATCCTTAATGTAACAATCCAATTCAGTCCATTTTAAGGAATCTGCCAATGACAAACTCCAACTGACCGCCTGCACTAAAGCTTCCTTCTCATTAATAGCAATCACCATTGATCTGTTCCAGCACATAGTAGCACCCTCCTCCACAGCTCTACAAACAGCTTCAAAACAGCCCCATGAAGAGCCTAAGGCACTGGCGAATAAACTCTTTCGTCCTACCTTCCTGGAAAATTGACTCTTATGACACTGATTTGAAGAAACATTAAATTTCATCAGCATATCCTCACTTACAGAAATATTTGAGAATTCCAGGTACTCTGAGATGGCTTTATCAACAATTTCCTGTACAGCCCAATATTGTTTGTTCCACACCCAAGCATTCCTGCCTTTCCATAAATTCCAAATCAAACATGCAGAAAGGCTCATTCTATCAGAACGACAATGACCCTCTTGAATGTTGCAAAGACCCTGCCACCAGTTCTGAAAAATAGTATTATTATCCTCCAAAGAAAACCAAATAAGACCAGACAGGTTCCAACAAGCTTTGGCTTTGGGACAGTGAAACAGAATATGAGACATGTCTTCATCAGCTTCTCCACACACCTCACATCTAGTATCAGTGATCACCCCTCTAGCTGCCAGGTTTACCTTAGATCAAATATAATTGTGCTAGCAGCGCCACACAAAATTTTTAATTCTACTAGGAATGGGAAGGTTCCAAGAGATTCTCCACATTTTCCTGAGTGCAACAGGGTAACCACTTGAAGAAGCCTCTTCTGTATTGGAATTCAAGCTAGCCATTTGTACAGCTCCTTTACAGAAAACTGACCATCTCTACCCCAGTGCCAAATGAGATTATCTCTACCACTTTGAGCAGACAAAGGAATATTGAGAATCAATTCAGCTTCCCAAGGAGTAAAAGTCTGATATATAAGCTCTGAATCCCATGACATGGTTGCTGGGCAGATTAAATCCTTAACTCTGCTGAGTCTACTCTTATCCACCGGAAAAGGGCAACTAGGTTTAAAAGATGGACAATTTGGTACCCATGGTGAATCCCATATCCATTACCTACCCTGAACCGTGCCCCCAAGTCAAGAAACCTCCTAGCTCCTAACCAGCTCCGCCAGAGCCATGAGTCATTCCCTTTAACTTTCACCTCACCAAGAGTTTGATTTCCCATCTTGGTGGACTGGAGCATTCTTCTCCAAGTTCAGTTGACCGACGTCCTGTCTCGCTTTGGAACGACGCTCCTTTTCCGCATCAAGCTCCTCACCAGCCTTCCTCTTGGATTTCTTCTTCTTCTTCTTTTGAGTCGAAGGTTCCTCTGTGGTCTTTTTGGTCATCTCGGCCTCCTTCGAACTAGATATGATCACATGGAGGTCGGGGTGGGCCATTTCGGCATCCTTCTCAACTTCAGGGGGAGCGACGGGAGTTGAGACTATAAGCTCGGTATTTGTCTCTGGGGCAGGTTCCGGAACGGGTTCAGTGACGGGGGCAGGCATCGCGACTGTAACTAGTGGCCCAGACGTGGCCCCAACGTCGGCACCTCCAGAAGCGCAGCTAGCTGCTTTATTCTTCAGTCCCTCCAAAAAATTCAAGCGACCCATCTCGGTATCTTTTACAGAAAATTGGCGACGGTAATCTTTTGTTTCTCAAACGGATTGGAATCCGAAGAAATTGAGTAGCGGATAATAGACTGAAGAAAGAATATCATAACAGAGGTCACTTCAAATCACAAAAGAGGTAACAAAAAGAAGACAAAAATCTATTTTGACGACATAACAAGAACTTACCAGGTTCAAAGTTGGGGATTGGTTCTTTCGCTCCGAGTTTGGCGTTAGCGAGTTTGGAATTTTTTGTCAACAAGCTCCACTTGCGTTTTGAAATATCTAGTTGGGATAGATCCTCAAGCTTCTCCCTGAATTCACCGCTGAGTTTCGGTTCTTTTTTCCTCTTGGCTACAAATATGAAAAGGTCCGACCTGTTAGCGAAGGAAAATCAACTCGTCAGGAAATTGCGAGTATAAAAAAAAACTTACGGAAAGAAGAAACAACGCGGGTCGGGACCGTCATCCCATCGATTGGCATTTCAAGTCGGAAGTCAGGGGATTTCCAATCCCCACCAACCCATAACCACTCGTCTTGGAAGCCACGAAGGGTTTCGGGAATCCCCGTGATTAGTTGTCCCATCCTCAAGTCGTATTGCGGCCTCGCCGCACAGAAAAAACAACCAGTTGGTGGGACGCCTTCACGTTCCCTACTCCTCTTGAAGAGAAAAATGCTCCTTAATTCATCAATCGTCGGAAATGACAGCTTTTTCTGTGCCAAAAGGACCATAATTCCTATTATTTTCTTCCAACTGTTTGGAGTTATCTAACTAAGGCTAAGACCCCAATCGCGCAAATAGTCGGTGATCACGTTGTCGAGGGAAAATCTCAAACCCGACCTCAAACTTTCGGCAAAAATTCCCACGCAACCAGGAGGAGGGCAATGAATTCTCTCTCCTGGATAAGGGGCGAAGATTCTAATCGAGGCAGGGATCTGCACCCTCTCGCGCAGCAAGACCACGTCGGCATCAGTCATGATGCTGGACTCCCTTGGGAATAATACGTCGTCGTCGGGCCAACGCCTAGCCGGGCGACTCCAATACCCCGACTTGACGGGGATATCTCGTTCCACCTTGGCATCACCCTCGACGTTGTTCTTTCGAATATCCAAACGTTCAACGTAAACAGTGTCCCACCGGTAATAATCGCCCATCAACTCCATCAACTCTTCATCTAACTCCACATCTGACACAGTCCGACTACTGCTTGGTTCTGCTTGCTCGCCGCTCATCGCCATAACGACGACCCGAAAAAACAGACAGAAATTAAGAAATTGAAAGATGAAATTAGGGCTTACCGAAAAATTTGGGTGAGCTCTCAAGGAATATCGCAAGTTGTCAAAGGATGAATGAAGAATGAAAGAGAAGATGGAAGAAATATTCAGAAAATTGAAAGATAAGTAAGCTGTTTAGATAAAGATTTTGCAAACCGAGACTGCGACAATATATATATATATATATATATATATATATATATATATATCCGAAGCTTTTCGACCGTTGGGAACGAAGAGGCACGTGTAACCGTCACGTCGTTTGGGGAAAAATCTTTTTAATCTCATCATAAATGTGTACAAGAGTAATCTCGGACGTACACGTGTCCTGAAACCGTCAGAATTCACATCCGTAATTTATGGTATGTGTCCGTTGAAGAAGAGTAGTGGGAAAGGCACGTTCGCGGCCTCTGAAAATTGCCTTGTAACCGCCTTTTGATCCTATACAATTATATTGTTTGAGAAAATATGTAATTCTCGTCTAAGGAAATCACCTCGGTATATTCTTAAAAGATTTGTGAACGACTCCAAAGCGCAAGTTGGTCGAGAAGAAAGTGTCATTAAGAAGCACGCTTATCTGCGTACTCCTTAATGACAGGGGCCTCTATGTTGACATCAAAACTGAGTACCATAGGTTGAGGACGTCCTGAGCAAATTTAAGAGAAAGGACGAGGTGCGCAAACTTACGGCGCAAATCAGTACCTCCGAGATGGAGGTCAGGAACAACTTGAATCGTTACCTGAAGGAACAAGAAGAGCATCAAAGAACTCAAGGGGGAGCATCAGAAAACTCGCCAAGATCGTTCTGAGAAGGAAGCCCAACTGATACGCTTAGCAGAGGCACATGCTGCCGAGTTGGTGAAGTTAGAGAAAGAAAAGGTTGATTTCGGGGAGCTTATGCGTGCCCAAGGTGTCGAAGAAGGTAAGGAGCTCGGGAACCAGGAGTTCAAGGGCTCCGCCGAGATGGAGAGGGACATTAAACTCAATTCCTGCCTGAACCTCCGTTGGGTGATTTATCGATTTCAATCTGGTCTGTACGGCATCGGAGATTTGAGGCCATCATGCTCATGAAAATGGAGAGGTTCGGATTCGACCCTGAGATCGAAGGGATTCACGTCCCCGCCGATGATGACGAACGAAACTATTGTGAATTAGTGCTGGGCAATACTGAGGCCGATGTTGTTGCCCGCGGGCTTCCTCCTATGAACGCGGATAGACAAGCTGCTCTTCGGAAAGCTTATGTCAATATGGTCCCCGAGGGAGAAAAAGAAAAAAGGGCAGAGTTTGCCGACGTGTTCATCTCTACTCTCGCCGATTTCACCGTTGAACAGCATCTTAACCTCCTGACTCTAGCCCAGATTAAGAAAGAGGTGGTGGAGTATGCCGAGAAGTTCGTGGCTGCGGCAGCTGAAAGAAATGTGGAGAACCCCCAAACGGGGACCGAGCTAGTGAAGGGAACTGGTGACGTCGATTCCGCGACGGTGAAGATCGTGTTGGATCCCCAGGCGGCTCCGAGGCTCCGGAAGGTCAAGATGAAGAAGCTCCTGAGGACGTTGATGGCTCCCAAGCTGAAACCGAGAAGAACCAAGATGGCTCCCAGGCTGAAACCGAGAAGGACCAAGCATAGTTAACATTTTTGGCTTTTATCATGCCTTGTTATTTTTTAATATTCCTCTCTCTTTTTGCTGATGTGGACCATCATGTTTGCACATCCTCTTTGCATTTGTAAGAACATGTCTTACAAATATATATATTCATTAGTTGCATTCAAAATCGTTGCCATATAACTCAGCTTCCATGTTGGTAGAATTTAATTTTCTATTTCCTTTATTACGTTGACAACTGATTTGTAAGCAAAAGTTTATGTTGACAAATGTTTTCTACAATTCATATTTATTGCATATAAAAAGATATAATCTAAATCCTTTATTTACGGTAACAAGTTTATTTTTTTTATATACTTTTCCAATATGGAAATATCTATTTCGTATGATCCATAAGAAAATCTTTATACTCAAATTTTTCTATGATTTTTCACACGTTCCTCAATATCTCATATAAAATTTTTACTTTCTAATAATAATAGGTATCTCATATAAAATCTAATATCTCATATATGAAATTTTTATATGAGATATTAGATTTTATATGAGATACCTACTATTATTGAATGGTGAATATCTCATATAAAAATTCCATCGCCAATAGTGATAGATATCTCATATAAAATTTTGACCGTCGAACAATTGTAGGTATTATCTCAATATTTATTTTATATTTACGGTTAAACAAGTAAAGTCTAGTTACAAATATTTAGTATACTTCTAAACATATCAAATAATGTATAATTACTAATATTTATATACTTCTAAACATCTCAAATAATGTATAATTACTAATATCTTATATATTATCTCTCAAAATGAATATTTTATATATTATCTCTCAAAGCAATTTTTTTACATTTGACAATATTTTATACACTTTTAAACGTGTTGTTTGGACAAATTTTTTTTACACATTATATAGATTAAAGTATATACCTATATATATATATATATTAAATATAAGTGTAGTTAGACATGTGTGCTTACAAAATAGTTTACAAAAATTTTAGGTGACCTCACATTTTTCAAGAATAAGATAAAATATTTTATATGATATTATATATGTTATATAATATTTTGAGTGTTTTTAATATTTCATACATACATTTTTTATATTATTTCATAACAAAATAAATTTATATTATAAATTATATCAAATGTTAACTTTACATATTTAATTTATAATTATTATTTAATATTATTTATCCGAGCATCTCGGTACACTACTAAAAACTCATGCATCACAAGATTCTCTGTGCTAGTCTATTTTAAAACAATAAGCTCATATCCAACTTATATTGGTTATCAAACATACTCCAAACAAATACCAAAAGAACCAGAAATGATTAGAGCACTCACTAATAAGGAAAAAAGATCCCATCTATATCTCTTAAGTGAATCTCAGGAAAAAAGAGATATGGTGATGTATATACAAAATTTAAAATATCTTTAGATTTGCGAAAAACGAATCTGTTTTAACCTATGTATGCCAATTTTCTATTAATAAAAAAAATGGTGGAATTTCTACATGTATATAATATTTTTACAATCCATTAATGAATAGGTTTATTTGGTATTCAATGATTGGGTCCAAAAACTCTTCATAATTAAACCTAAAGTAGGTAAAATAAGGTTCTTTCAATAGCAACATTTTTCATTTTTCATTTTCCCCCTCCTCAAGAATCCAAAAACCAAACAGTTCCAAAAAAATATAAAATAAAATAAAAAAATAAAAAAATAAAAAATAAAACCAGAGAGAGGGAGAGAGAAAACGAGAAATTAATTAAAAAAAGGAAGAAAAAACTGTCCCATTTCCTTCTGCAACTTTCAATCTGCTAAAGATATTCTCACAGTATCAAAATCCTATAATTCCCTATTCATCTTCTCCTTCGCTCACCCACCCATTACCAGTTTCTACATATTATACATACATCTCTGTGTATCTTCACTGTATAGCAAGTCGGACATGGAAAGCTATTCCGTCCTCTTTCCGCCGGTTAAGCGCCATACAAATCCAACTCCAACAACTACCCCCGAGCCCACTACCAACAACATCGCCGTCGACGTCTCCTCTGCCGATTCCGGCGCCGCCGCCTTCCCCAACCGCTTCAAGCCGCCGCAGCCGCCTCTGTTCATCCCGCCTGGAAACGTCGTCTTCCGCCTGATCTGCCACGCGTCGCGAGTGGGAGGGCTCATCGGGAAGTCCGGCTGCATCGTCAAGAAACTCCAGCAGCAGACCAACTCCAGAATCCGGGTCGAGGACCCGCCCGACGGGTCAGACCACCGGATAATCAGCGTCGTGGCATCGCCGGCGGTTGCTAACAAGGTCAAACTGTCCGCCGCCGCCCTAAAGGAAGGGGAGGACAACGGTGGTGATGAATTGTTTTATGTGTCGGCGGCCCAGGAGGGAATGCTCAGGGTGTTCGAGAGGGTGGTGGAAGTGGCGGCGGAGGGGGATCCAGCGGCGGTGTACGGCGGAGTTGTCTCGTGCAAGCTGTTGGTGTACAAGAATCAGGGTGGGGCGGTTATTGGGAAAGGAGGAATGGTAGTGGAGAAGATCAAGAAAGAAACTGGGTGCAGAATTATGGTTATTAATTCGGAGTGTTCTTTGCCTGGTTCGTCTGCCTCCGATGAAATTGTGGAGGTGATGAATTAAAGGCTAATTTATAGTTGAAATTGTTCTATATTTGGTTTCTGCTGAATGCTGTTTCTTTATTAGTCAATGCTCTTGCTGCTGGTTTTTTATGTTTGTTGAATTTGGGTTTCGTGCTATTATTTTTTTTAACTGTTTCATAATTGGATTTTTTTAATGTTGGAATGTGTGGCATGTGTGAGAATGAGAAAGTCTTGATTGTTGTTGAAAATCATACATTGTATAAAATCTTTAGTCGTGAGACTTGTATGCACTCGAGCGTGATCTCCCAAGAAATGAATAAAATCTTCCAGAATAGGTTAGTGAAAATGCTAAAAGGACTCTTAACTGTTAACTCCTATGAGTTTGGAAGACCTTTCTTTGTACTCAACCTTGTGCTTGGCACTAAGAGTAGTTCACATAAGCCTATATTAATTGTGCCGTTATTTGATCTTTATTATGTAGATTGAAGGCAATATCCAGTCAGTCAAGAAAGCACTTGTTCTTGTCACTGGCCGCCTTCAAGAATTTCCACCACTTGGGAAAAACAGAACATTTTGGAGTAAATCTCTCGAGACTGAGTCCTTACCTGTTACAAGTGGAGAGACACCAATTATGCAACCAATGCCTTCAAACTCAACATATCACGACACATTACATGGCCCCGCCACATGGGACTCTGATAAGGCCTCGAAAATCGACACTAAAGCACCAGAACAAGAGGTCGTTTTTAAAATGCTGTGCCCTAGTGATAGAGTTGGTGGCATTATTGGCAAAGGCGGGTCTATTATAGAGGCTATCAAAGATAAAACTGGTGCTTCTATATTTATTGGGCCGCATATGCCTGATTGTGATGAACGATTGATAACAATTGCAGCGAAGGAGGTAAAATTGGTTTTTGTATTGATGCTTATTTCTCTTGTTTTTATGCTTTTCTTGATATTTTTGCTCGTTTTAATTTATTTTATTCATTTTTTTTTCTGCCTTTTGGGTTGGGTTAGAGTATGGAATCACAATGCTCGCCTGCTCAAAATGCAGCTCTTATTGTGTTCAAAAGGTCTATAGAGGCTGGTCTTGAGAAGGGATTTGATTTGGATTTAAAAGGGTCACCTGTATTGGCTCGATTTTTAGTACCATCATTCTATGTCGGTAGTTTGTTGGGAAAAGGAGGCGCAAGAATAACAGAAATGAGAAAGGCGACTGGTACTGGTCTGAGGTTCCTTTTGGGCAACCAAATCCCCAAGTGTGCTCCGGAAAATGTTGAAATCTTACAGGTACTGCTGTTAGCTAATGCGTATTTTTTCTTCGTTAAGGATCTTACCCATTAAATTTACCTAAATTCTTACATGAACAATTTAATCGAACAAAAATGTTAATAGCTTAGTATTGTCGAGATGCTTGTGGTTGTTGTAATGGTGTTGGAAAAGTTGTTGATGTTCGTACTTTTACACCATTCTAGTTTTATTTTATTGTTTTCCCATCAAAGAATAACAGCTTCCAGTTTTTTCAGTAATGGTTTGTACTCTGTATTATCTCTCTTATGCTCTGTGATCATGTCATTATACCAAGTCACTCAATGATTCATGTCTGGACTATGGCAAACAAAAATAGATTAGAGAAAAAATAAAAAAGAAACAAATAAAACTAAAATGGAGGGGATTTTTAATTAGAAACACTTGTTCGAATTGTACATGGATCTCTTAATGCAGCCTGAGGTTTCTAATCAACACAATTTAACACTGTATGATTAAAGTGGATATCACGTATATATTTACCCTTTTTTCTTAGATTACAGGAGAGCTTGCAAATGTACAGAATGCTCTATTTGCAGTGACCAGTAGATTGCGGGATAATCTGTTCTCCATGTCGATTCCAAGTGGACGTGGGAGTTATAACACTTTGAGGACCGAAGATAGTGTCTTTAGCAGAGTAAAAGATCCCCGCACTTTTGGATCACATTTATTTCTCGATAATATTTCAGACAATCCCAACCAGGACAAGTCATTGACTAATGGTATGGAAAGTCTTCAAATTTCAAATAATATAGACCAACCAACATCGCCAAACTTGATAATGCCACAGGTATTAATTAATTAATTAATTAATTAATTAAATCTTCACTTTTTTTTTTCCTTGTTTTCTGAATATGAATGATTGCTTTTTGATACTTCTGTTTTCAGACAGTTAAAGGAGTAAACCAGGAAAATATTATGGACAATGATGAAAGTTTACCTTCGGCTAAAGGTGGTAGGGAAATTAGCAGGTTAGCACCAAACAGAACTCTCCATATCCCATTTGCTGTCTTACAGAGTCGTAATACTCTAATGTTATATCAATAAAATTGAGTTCGATCAAATTAAAATGGTCATGATTTATTTGTAGTTTGCTTGTTAAAATAGTTGAAGTATGATTTAATTGTAGATTGCCTATAAGTGCAATTTGTGCACTAGAATTTTACTATTTCCTTTCCTGATGATATCCGATGCATGATATATGTAGTTTGCCTACCGTTCGCAAGTGACAGTAACTTCTTGGTATTTGACTTCTAAAGTCATTTTTTTTTTCTGTACTGTAATCATACCAATCGATAACATTACATGGATTTTGTATGCTTAAAAATTCAAATTTATGGCCAGGTCAAATGAAATATTCTCAGCACAACTTTTTTTTTCTTTTTTTACTTTTTCTGGGGCTCCTCGTGAACAGTGAAAATGGATCTGCCGTTGTGACAAATACGACTATAGAGATTGTTGTCCCTGATACAGAGATTGGATCCATTTACGGCGAGAATGGTAGCAATTTGGATCGTCTAAGACAGGTAACTAGTATTTTTCCCTTCTTCTTTGTTCTTGTTATGTTTTTTGTTTTCTTCTGTGGTAAAATCTTCACATCATTTACGTTTTTACATATATTTACAACCTTCATTGATGTTTTTCAGATATCTGGAGCTAAGGTAGAAGTTCATGAACCTCGTCCTGGAACAAATCTTAATATTGTTGTCATATCCGGCACACCAGACGAAACACAAGTTGCTCAGAGCCTGATGCAAGCATTCCTACTGTCTGGTTCATAGCAAATAGAGAGAGTATCTTAGGTTCTTCAATTTTTTATTTCCTTAATTTTTTTCGAGCCATCTATCTACCCAAAGAGGAAAAACAGCTGGAAAAAAAAGTGCGCACCTAACGACGTTTTGATCGGTAAACTAATTTTCTGTGCCATAAGCTATCGACGAAAATAATCTGCTATGGTGAATCTAGATTAGGATCCTAATCACTTTTTGCTTTTCGACTTGTTTAGCACATTGTGAGCCATCTGATGCAATACTTGATCTAGATTAGGACCACTAATCTTCCCATTTTCTGTAGACGGCTATTTGCACACTGAGTTGTTTGTTACCTGATTTCGGTAAACGGTTTTCTACAGATTATTGCATTCTATTTTTGAAATCAACTCATTCGCTTGGGTTGTGAATCTTTTACGATCGAATTTGGTGGATTTGGTGGAAGTTCAGATTGATTTTTTTTTTTTTTTTTTTTATCNTATCCATTTAAGTATGGCACAGAAGTTCTAAAAAAATATGCCATATGAACACAATTTTTGCAAATAAAGGTATACTAATTGTTGGCATACAGGAAGATTGATGTCAAACATAAATAACGGTTAGAAGTCGTCGTACTTTTTCAACATACATGTATATTTAACATGTATACCTACCCTCATATTATGAAAAAGTAAAATTAACAAAAAGTACATTTAAAATATATGTTATAGCATAAGTATGTATTTTTGTTAAAAGTATGATGGATTGAGCGCTTAAAATGATCACTTAACAAAAGGGAAGGGAACTTATGGAAGCAGAAATGCATCACACAATAATGTAACATGCTTCTTAGAGGAAGTCGCACGCAATCAATCCATTATACATCAGCACAAGTTACAACAAACACTTTGACTAATTTTCAGAAAAAAAAAAAAAAAACCCACCTTGAAAATCTTTAGCTTTTTACAACTTCACTGCTTGCTGCTGCTGCTTCAGGTTTGAGGATAATTTCGACACTATCATGAACTCCTTGCAACAGTAACTCACCGTCAAATGTTATGATTTTACGCTTCTTGGCTGCACGTAAAGTGCCAACCAGAGCTTCAAAGATGTTTGCACACCTGTCATCATTAAAAAGCACGCCAAATGTAACCTGTTCGATTCAAGACAAAATGAATATATACCAACGTTAGTTAAGATCTCAATGGATCATAAAAGGTGTCGGGTACAAACAAGAAACCACACAAGTTTTCTGTAAATTCACAAGAAGTCTTTCAAGTGCAGAACAGACCAAAAGCATATCAACATTTTCTGCAAATTCCCAAAAGAAGTCTTTCAATTGCATAACAAACCGAAAACATATCAACAAAGCCTTTAATGAGCTATTTAAGAGAAAACATATCAACAAAGCCTCATTATTGTGACTTCTGCAAGTTCATCGGGCACTCTACTACAAACTGTGGGAAGTTCAAATCACACCGTGAAAATAAAGCCGAAGGCAAGAAAAAGATAGTGGAGGGTGAGACCATGGAAACCACTAAGAAATGGGTGGAAACTAAAAAGGGAGGAGACAAACCTAAGAAGACGGGAGCACAGGGAAAACCCCACCCATTCGAGGGAAAATCCACTGGTGAACACCAACCTAAGGAAGCCGAACAAAGGAAGAGAGACGACCCCTTAGCCACTGAACAACCTAAAGGAGGAGACAAGGATAGACCCAATGAGAAGGAGGATGCCGAACACAATCAAAGCAAAGGAGAAGAAACAAATGAAGGGATTGGTGAAACAAGGAAAGAGGAGGTGACCATTTCTTCGGACACCTCTATCTCATCCTCACGAACCATTACCGCTCCACTGAATGATGAAGACACCTTCCAAATAGTGGGCAAGCGCAACAAGATAATCACCAGAAGCGGAGCCGCGAGTCAATCTACGGTGGAGAAAGGGTCACCAACCGGGACACTAGGGATCTTAGAGAAGTTTGTGATGAATTAGGGCTGTCGGATATACCATCAAGCGGCTTCTTCCACACATGGACTAACAACCATGTATGGTCGAAACTAGATAGGGCTATGGTGGATACCCAATGGGAGAATGCCGATTTATTCTCACATGCAACCTTCCTTGCGCCTGGTATTTCTGACCACTCTCCGTGCTTGGTAACTATCTTCGAGGCAAGGCGCACTTGTGGGTCACCGTGGAGGTTCTTTAATATGTGGACTACCCACAAAAAGTTTTTGTCGTGTGTCCAAGAGACCTGGAATCAAGGTGGTGGGGGCTCACTTCGACTTGAAGCTCTTAGTTTGGCTAAAGCGGAGAAGCACTTCTATCAACAAAAAGCCAAATGCAACTTTCAAATCAAGGGTGATAAATGCACTAAGTTCTATCATGGCTTGGTTAAAAAACGAATGAAGCGGAACTTCATTGCCTCGATTAACCGGGAAGATGGGACCGTAACCGATTCCATGGAGGAAGTTACCAAGGATTTTATTCACTACTATGAAGCTCTTTTGGGAACCGATATTGTAACGGAGAAAATTGACCCTCAAATCCTTAGGTTGGGTCCATGTGTGGGAGATGATGATGGTAGGGTGCTTATTGCTCCGATCACCGAGGACGAGATTAAGTGTGCTTTAAGAGACATTGACGGTGATAAATCCCCGGGCCCGGACGGCTACACCTCCACTTTCTTTTTGAAGAGTTGGTCCATAGTCGGGGCGGATGTGCTGGCGGCCATTCAAGAGTTCTTCCACTCCGGCTCGATCCTTAAGCAATGGAACCATACGGCCCTCACGTTAGTGCCGAAGACCTCTCACTCTTCACATGTCACAGACTTTCGTCCAATAGCGTGCTGCAACACGATCTACAAAATTTGCTCAAAAATCCTAGCTAGTCGAGTTAGCGGCGTCCTTGGTTCTATCATAGATGAGGCTCAATCAGCCTTCGTTAAAGGGAGGAGCATGACGGACAACATCCACCTTATGCAACAATTGATCCGCCTTTACTTGAGGAAACACGTCTCCCCGAGATGTACTATCAAAATCGACCTCCGGAAAGCGTTTGACTCCATCTCTTGGTCGTTCCTAAAGTAAGTGCTCGATGGCCTAGGCTTCCCACAGGACTTCACGAGATGGATCATGGAGTGTGTTACCACACCGTCATACTCGCTATCTATCAACGGGAGCCTCAAAGGCCACTTCAAAGGAGCCCGAGGTCTAAGGCAAGGAGATCCCCTATCACCCTTCCTTTTCGTGATTTGTATGGAATACCTCACTCGGCTTATCAAGAACAGTACATGAGTTGGCACAAACTTCAACTACCATCCAATGTGCGAAAAGTTAAAAATCTCACACCTCATCTTTGCTGATGACCTCATGCTTCTCTCACGTGGAGACCCTCTGTCAATAAAAATTCTCATGGACTGCCTTAAGAACTTCGGAGCTAAGTCAGGGCTCGAGATGAACGTGCTAAAATCCAATATCTACTTGGCAGGGGTCAAGAACGATATTCGGGCTTCAATCCTCGATGACACCAACTTACGTTGCGGGTCAATGCCCTTTCGGTATCTTGGTATCCCTCTCTCCGCAGACCGAGTCACCGGAAGGCTATTTGATGATATGATCAAGACAATCGAGGGGCAACTTAGTGGATGGAATGGGCACACTCTTTCCTATGCCGGGAGATTGGAACTTCTTCGCTCGGTAATTCAAGGCATTGTGTGTTTTTGGATGGGGGTCTTCCATTTGCCTGGCATAGTTAGAACAAAAATCACCAAACTATGTAGAAGGTTCCTTTGGGGCTCGAAAAGCGCTCATGTGGCTTGGGAAAATTTATGTCTGCCAAAATTGAAGGGTGGTCTGGGTCTTAGAGACTTGAATGCATGGAATCAAGCTTTGCTCTCCAAGACGCTCTGGAACATGCAAGCAAAGAAGGACACCCTATGGCACAAATGGATCCACACCAATTACTTACAAGGGAGCTCCATTTGGGAATGGCAAATTAAACCAAGGGACTCGGCTCTATTCAAAGCCCTTTCTGAGATCCGACAAAGCTTGGTGGAAAAAACGGGGAATGTGCGGAGTGCGGAAGCCCTTCTTAAAGGGTGGAAATCTCGGGAAGATCAAGATGGGTCTAGCAAATGCTACGAATTCCTGAGACCAAGGAAAACTATAGTGCCGTGGAATGGGGTTGTTTGGGGCCCGTGTAACACCCCTAAGCACTCATTCATCCTATGGTTGGGGGTGCTTAATCGACTCAAGACAAAAGATCGTCTAGAGTTCCTAGAGGAAGATCCGACATGCCCTATGTGTGGAGAGGCGAATGAATCTTCGAGCCACCTATTCTTCAAATGCACCTTTAGCTTGGAGATTTGGAAGGATATCCGTTCTTGGATTAGTCTCCGACATAGACCGTCTACACTAAAAGGAGCCCTCAAATGGATCAAAAAGGAAGCGAGAGGGAGTGGATGGCAAACCAAGTTGAAGAAAGCGGCTCTTGCGGCTACTGTGTACTTCATTTGGAATGCAAGGAATCGTTTGGTGTTTGAGAATGAATACCAAGGCCCGAGTCTGGTAATTCGCAAGGTAAAAACACATGTTTATCGAACTATATTTACTACCTATCCGAATGTGCTTATTGAATTCGAGAGGAGGTGCCTTGGGCTTTGAGGGGCATTATGGATACTTGATTGTTGAGGTTTTGTGGTGGTCGGAAGGTCAAGGAGAATGGAAAAGCCTCTGTCCGAGCAATAGCGCCGCTAGCTAGCAGCTAGCTCCGCTAACCCCCCCTAGCTCCGCTAACCCGCTGAAGAGAAAAGTCTCTGTCCGAGCAATAGCGCCGCTAGCTAGCAGCTACGCTAGCCCGCTGAAGAGAAAAGCCTCTGTCCGAGCAAAAGCGCCGCTAGCTAGCAGCTAGCTCCGCTAACCCCCCCTAGCGCCGCTAACCCCCCTTCTAGCGGCGCTAGCTACTGATTTTCAGATTAGTCTCGCGAATCTATTATAATTAGGAGGAGGGTTTGTTTTATTGGACGCTCTTAGACTTATTTTATGCGCGTTTTGCTGAGGAGAAATACCTGCGTGAAATTGGAGAGATGTGACGTTTTTCGTCGCGAGTTACGACACCCGGTAGCAAGCCGCGACCCCCTTTACGCGAGTCAACACTCTATGTTTTTGGGCTTGTTTGGATCCGTACGAACTTGGGCTCTAACTCCGTTATCTCCTATGAGTAGCCAAAGAAGCCTTATTCGAAATCTAAATCGAATGACTTTCTGAAATTTATTTTCAAATGCTATTAGAATGACCAACTGACTTGTGGTTGGCTTTATATTGCGAATGAGGAACCGAATTGTGGTTCCCATTACGCTTATGTAAGCCGTAGAACGGTTGTCTGAAACAGTTTTGAAATATATACTTACATTTAACGATCAAAAAAAAAAAAANAATGAACCGAGCTACATTTTGGC